AACAATGGACAATTCCCATTATAGACTAATTTTAAAACTAGGCAAAGAGATGCAAATAAATCACGACAAGTAGAAAGAGCATACTAGAATGAGTAAACGTGCAAAGTTTGGTTGCGAAATGTTGTAAAATGCGGAAAATATAGCCTTGCAAAGTTTGCAAATTTTGTATACTTTTGTATTGCGAGCGGAAATTGCTACCACATTTGGGCGTACATTTGGTTGGGTGTGTCTCCCCTGTTTTTCGCCTCAAAAATTATAATATCTAAAAAGTGGATTTTCCTCTTTAATTGCAGCCTCCAATTGAGAGCACAGAAAAACCTGAAGAAATCTTCCATATTATTGAACATTTCTGTTTGGGAAGAAGACGTCTTCATTTGTTTGGAAATGACAGCAGCTTACGTCCAGGTTAGTAAATAAGAGTTGCATGAGAGTTGACAAGCGAGAGTTTACATGAGAGTTTTCTCAACTTTCATTGCTTCATCAAACGAGAACAAGAGTTGCATGAGAGTTGACAAGCGAGAGTTTACATGAGAGTTTTCTCAACATTCATTGCTTGATCGAACGATAACAAGAGTTGCATGAGAGTTGACAAGCGAGAGTTTACATGAGAGTTTTCTCAACTTTCATGAAAATTCTCACTTGTCAACTCTCATTACAATTATTGTTCTCATTCGATCCTAGTTGAGAGTTGACGATGGTTTGTAGTTTATTTCCTACTTTTGTCATATCTTTCTAGGTTGGCTGACAGTTGGGCCAGACCTCTCCAGCTCAAATTTCTCAAGTGAGACATACAATTCATATTTCAACAGTTCCCCTACCGAATACTTAGTAGGCGACACGCCTGAAATCGAGAATCTTCGACCCAAGTCTCCCAAGGCGAAAAACAAAGGTGATGGCGGGAAAGGCCGTGGGGGGATGGGACCTGGTGGACCCGCGTGGGCTAACCGCGGGATGCGTGGAATCGGGGGGCGTGGGATAGGAGGAAGGGGTGGGTTAACTCGGGGTATTGGGTTTTCTATCCGTGGCAACCGGGGGTTAAGTAGAGGTGGTTTTCCGACACGATAGGTAGGGGTTCAACATTGGACGATGGCAATATATGTGCATAATTAATAAAAAGCGTAGTTTTATTGGTTGTTGTGTTGTTTTTGTTTGCAGTGAAAGTAATTTGTTTTGTGTATTGTATTTACTCGTTAAAGCGCCCCGGTGCTCTTTAAATAATGATGTTTTCAACCC